CTGCCTGGAGGCCGCGCGCGCTGGGTCCTAAGGCCCGACGTGTCCGCGCGGCACACAGCGCCTGCGCGCCTCCCTTTGGCTGAATTGGGCTGTGAAGGCGCTTGAAACCTCTCCCTGCTTTCCCTGGAATTGGAAGGTCGTGGAAGTGATCCCGCCACCCTCACCACAAACCACGTCCCAGAATACATAGAAATGTCTCTCTTCCTGCAAAGCACCCAGTGGGGTGACCCCATCCAAGGCCGGCACGGAAAGCGTGTGGCTGGGGGTGTGGGGGGGAGATGGTTACCCACTGCCCGTAGTTAACATGGTGCCGGATCGGCTTCGGAGCCCAGGAGGGCGGAGCCAACAAGATGGAGCCTGGGCTTCTCGATTCGTCTTTATAAATCGCACTTGTCGCGTTTCGAGGAGCGATTCAAGTGTATAGTGCCCCCAGGAGGGGTCTGAAGCTAAGCCAGGGGAAGAACAACTGCCCTCCTGGGCGCTGTTAGCGTCGCCGCGGAGGAAAGGCGACCGGCTTCCAGGCTTGCTGCCCTTCCTCTGCATGGCGTCGTAGTCCGCCCTCACTCCCCAGCCTCCAGACCTCGCCCTGCCCTTTGCCTTCACTCAAGATGGCACCAATCTGGCTTCGCTAACCTTTTCCCGGGCTGGGAAAGGAGGGAGAAGGGAGGGGTGTGGAAAGGGGAGCCTAGAGGGCGGGAGGAAGGGGCAGTAAAGGGGGGTCTAGGCGGAAGTTGAGGGGCCCCCCGGGTGGAAGTGACGCTGCTCCTGCTGCCCAAAATGTCGGCGCCCAGAGAGAGGTGTAAGTAATTAAAGAGGAAAGCCGACCGACTACCCCGGCCTCCCGGGGCCGCTCCAGGTCTCCAGAACGCCCCCTCCCTACGAGTGGGGTGGACTTGCCTGGCCCTGATTCCCACCTGACCTGCCCCTGCCCCGGGAGCCCAGGGCCTGCACGTTTTAGGGACAGGGTGAGGCACACAAAAGGCCAGCGTTCGGGACCTGGAACCTGGAGCGGACTTGGGGGGAGGGCAGCACCACAGGCTACCGGGTGTGGGAGGAGGCGGGGCCTAAGTGGCGGTTGGGGAGGAGCGAGGACTGGGAGGAGCCTGGTGTGGGTGTGGCTTAGCTCGAGAATGGGCGGGGCTTGAGCTGTGGGCAATGTATGGGAGGATCTAGGATAAATGGGTGTGGTTTCACTAAGGGGAGTGGCTCAAAGGGAATGATGGGCGGGTCCCAGGTTGAAAGTTACAAAAAGCTTCTGAGGCTAGTGGACAAATAAGTCTTAAGGGGGGGGGATATTGGTGGGGTGGGAGGAGCTTAGAGTAGAATGGGTGGGGCTTGTGTAGGGTGTGGCGTTGTGTGTAGGGAGGGAGCCCTGGTGGTGCAGTGTAATGCCTTGGGTTGTTAACTGCAAAGTCAGCAGTTCGAAACTTCAGGCGTTCCTCCGGATCCCGTAGTGTTACAATGTTAGAAACCCACAGGCGCTGGTATTCCCTGTCCTATAGGGTGGGACTCAACTCGATGGCAGTGAGAGAAGAGTTGTAACCCCTGGGTGAAAACAAATGGTTTGTGGGAGGCTGATAAGTAAAAGGTTGGTGGTGCTGAAGAAGAGACCTGACAATTTACTTCCCTACAGATTACAGCCAAGAAAAAAAAAAGCCTTCAGAGCCATGGATATAACGCACAGTCGCGCAGTGGGTCAACATGAGTCAGTTTCACGTGGACAGCAACGGGGAGGAGGTTGGAGGGAAACAGGAGGGCCTTCTTGTAAAGCAAAAAGCAACTCAAATGTAAACTCACTGCCGTGGAGTCGATTCTGAGTGGCCCCTGTGGGGTTCTAACGCGTCACAGGAACACACAGCCTCCTTTTTCTTCGTGGAGTGGATTGGTGGGCTCAAAGCGCTGACGTCGCGATGAGCAGTCTGAGGAGCAGGCCCGCTGCACACCAGGGCTTCTGGTCTGGCAGAGGATAGGGCTTAATTGAGGGTGAGGTTTTGGGAGCAGGTCTTGGTGGAGAAAAGTGGGGCTCCAAGAAGGTAGAGAATCTTAGAACAGCATGGTGGGACTTAAGGGACTGCTACAGACGGAAAGGTCGGTGGTGCAAATCCACCAGCTGCTCCTCAGCAGGCAGATGAGGCTGCCTGCTCCCTAAAGACTTGTCAGGGTGGGAAACCCTCCATAGGGCCACTGTGGGGGCAGCATGGACTTGGTGTCAGTGGTAGGAACCAAACTAGCTTGCTTGCTGCCTCTTTCCTAAGCACCTGGTACACACGGTGCCACTTCAGTTGACTCTCACCCCCCATGCCCGAGCCCCCATCTGTGAGGGGTGCTACGTGGACTCCTGGTTTGTAGGTGAGCAAGGCTCGGCTTTATCCGAAGTCACAAGGTGAATTCCAGTCACCTTGGAAGGATGAGGCAATTGTGCCCAGCATTAAACCTTTGTCCTCCAATTCATTTAGTCGTTATTGCCCATGGCTTCCAAGGAGAGTGGGAGGGGCTTGGTGCTGAGTGGACGGGGCTTGAGTGGGAGCAGGAGGGGCTTATTGAGAAGTAGGTGCGACTTGGCGAGGCATGGAGGGCTAGCGAGGAAGCTTGACAAGGAATGGGTGGGGTTTAGTGGGAATGGGCAGGACTTGGTAGCAATAGGAAGGGCTAGGTCAGGGATGGGTGTGGCTTAGTTGGGAGTGGGAGCGGCTTGGTGAAGGGTGATTGGCTTCCTGAGAATTGCGGTTGTTCGGTGCCATCTCAGTTACCCCGTGCACAGAGGAACCCACCACGGCCTGCACCTGCATCATCCTCACAATTGCTAGAGTTGAGCCCATTATTGTAGCCACTGTCAATCCACCTAGTTGAGGGTCTTCCTCATTTTCACTGACCGTCAACTGTATGGAGCATGACGTCCTTTTCCAGGGACTGGTCCCTCCTGGTTACATTTCCCACGTGTGTGACATGAAGTCTTACCATCCTCGCTTCTAAGGAGCATTCCAGCTGTCTGTGGTCCTTCAACCACGGAAATTCACAGGCTCTCCTCTGGCCCCTCCTTAGTCAGTGTCTGCCTTTCACATGCAGATGAGGCGATTGAAAATACCATGGCACGGGAGCCCCAGTTACACTTGCGATCTGCAAGGTCAGCCGTTTGAAGCCACCAGTTTCTCTGCAGTAGAAAGATGAGACTTTCTACTCCCCGAAAGAGTTAACAGTCTCAGAAACTCACAGGGGGCATTTCTACCATGTTCTAGATCAGTGGTTCTCAACCTTCCTAATGCCGCGACCCTTTCACATAGGTCCTCATGGGGTGGTGACCCCCAACCATAAAATTACTTTCGTTGCTACCTCATCACTGTCATTTTGCTACTGTTATGAACCGTCCGGTAAATATCTAATATGCAAAATTATTTTCATTGCTACAAATTGAACATAATTAAAGCATAGTGATGAATCACAAAAACAATATGCAATTATATTGTGAAATATTTATTTCTAATGACAACTCAATGAAATTTTGTCTGGAAGCATGGTGTAGCATGGGTAAGTCTTCACGCCAAGTACTCGTATGTGGGCGTATCTGCATGTGGGTGGACCTGCCAGGAGACGTATAGAGTGGTGTCTCCGTTCTTAAGACCATCGGAAATGTTTTCTGATGGTGTTAGGTGACCCCTGTGAAAGGGTCTTTCGACCCCCCAAAGGTTGAGACCCACTGGCTTAGTATAGGACAAGGTAGAACTGCCCCTGTGGATTTCCAAGGCTGTATCTCTTTAAGGGAGTAGAAAGCCTCATTTTTCTCTTGTGGAGCAACTGTTGGTTTCAAACTGCTGACCCTGCAGATCGCAGCCCATCGAGTAACCACGATGCCACCAGAACCGTTTAAATAACAGGATAACATAAAGGACAGTGCGGGGCTTGGACAGCCCAGGGAGGGTTGTGGGGGGTCTGTGAGCCCAAGGAGCTTGGGAGGGGAGGGCTGATGGGGAAGGGACATCTCCCCTGACCCAGTCTCTCCCTTCCTCCTACTCCAGAGAATCCTCAGACCCCGCCACCATGGGCGACGCCCCGCTGCCAGCACCCCCCACCCAGGCTCCAGCCCCACCTGCGGCTGCGCCCCGGGTCCCCTTCCACTGCAGCGAGTGTGGCAAGAGCTTCCGCTACCGCTCGGACCTGCGGCGCCACTTCGCGCGGCACACGGCGCTCAAGCCCCACGCGTGTCCGCGCTGCGGCAAAGGCTTCAAGCACAGCTTCAACCTGGCCAACCACCTGCGCTCACACACCGGCGAGAGGCCTTACCGCTGCTCTGCCTGCCCCAAGGGCTTCCGGGACTCCACAGGCCTGCTCCACCACCAGGTGAGCCCCCAAGCCCCACTGCCCCTGCCACCAACTTCGTGGGCGGGACACCCCTTTGAGCCCCGGGTCCCGGGGGCTTCCAGGTGGAGAAGCTGGAGAGAACTGGCCCCCTCGGCTTTCCAGGGCTACCTCATCTTTCTCCCTTGGAGCCAGCGGTGCCTTCCAACCCCCCCACCCCAGGTCACCTCCCACCGCAGGTGGCTGGCCCTCTGCAGGCTAGCTGTAACGCTGCAGGTGATTCCTATGGTCTACCGCATTGGCTCTGGCTCTGGTTAAGGCCCCCTCAAAGGTGGGGTCTGGTTGGCACAGCCGTCTGTGCCCAGCTGATGCGCTGGCCGAAGGATTGGTGGTTCTCCCTCTCAGAGCGACTCCTCAGGGCCTGGTTGGGTGCTTCCGGAAGGTCACAGCCAAGGCGGCCAGGTGAAGCAGGTCTGCTCCGAACACTGGAGCCTGCTAGCTGTGCTTCTCCGCTTTGTTCTGTTTGGTTCACAAGCAGTGGCACTGACCCACCCCAGGCCACCATCCTGAGCTGCCTCATGATAAGGCCACATCGGTAATGATCATTTTCTCCGAGGGGCTCAGATCCCTCTCTCTCCGCCTGGTGTCCCCTTAGTATCTGGTTTCCATCGCCCCAGACAAGCCTTCTCTTTGCCTGGCCTCTTGTCTTCTGTGACCTGGCGGGGGGGCTCTCGCCGTCCCAGGTGGTGGTGAACACCATTGCTTCTGCATGCCAATCTAGAGGCCTCTGAGAAGTGGGTGGGAGGGTGGTTCAGGAGACTCAGGCCTGGCCCTCGCTGAAGGGCGGGCATCTGAACTCCACCAACCAACGTGCCTCCGAGATGTGCCTGCCCCAGGGAGCAGTTCGCCGCTGCACAGACGGGACCGCTGTGACTTGTCTGGGAAGTGGGGAGGACCTGGTTTCCAGGCCGGGTTGTCCAGCTGGCTTCCTGAGGGGAGGCACCACCCCCATGGTCCAAGTGCTTGGCTGTAGAGGCACCACGGTAGAAAGGCCTGGTGGTCTGCTCGGCCATGGATTGTGAAGTATTTATGTGCTTTCCAGTTGTCTTAGGCGATCCCGGTGAAAGGGTCGTTCGATCACCAAGGGGGTCGCGACCCACAAGTTAAGAACCGCTGCTTTAGGACATAGTCGA